GTAGCTACCACGTTCTGCCTGTCCTCCACTCTTCACTTCTTCCTGTGTGACATGGTTTGTGACTTTGCGCTGTCTTAGACCCCTGCGTAACTTTAATGTTAAATTAAAAGCACTGTTTTAACCCAGTGCCTAGAGTCAAGCCCGTTACCCTACGGCTGCCCAGCCAGTGTGAAGGTAGTGTTGGCTGTTTTCCACACAGAGTGAAGGCCTGCTTGGCCTGGCCAGTTGCAAGGGGCATGAGGCAGGACAGTGTGGGGATTTGGGGGCAGTCTCCCCGCCACTCCTGGGAGGGTGGCTCTAAGCCAGTTCTCCCCAGGAGTCAGCTGCAGGGCGAGAGGGCCCATCAGACGAGCCCAGCCATCACCGCTTCAGCCTGCCCATGCCGAGCGGTTGAAAGGGACATGTCCGGGGCTCTCTGTTCCCAGCTCTCTGGTTCCTTCATCATTCACCTTGAGCAGGTGAAGCCCCCTCCTCTACTGCCATCCCTATCGGCAGGTTATCCCAAAGGCCACCCTGACGCAGAGAGCTTTGAAGCAGACCTGACGCACCTGAAGGAGAAGGTGGCTGCAGGGGCCGACTTCATCATCACCCAGCTGTTCTTTGAGGCTGACACATTCTTCCGCTTCTTTAAAGCTTGCTCTGAGATGGGCATCGCCTGCCCCATCCTCCCTGGAATCTTCCCCATTCAGGTGAGGGTCCCTGGTGGACTAACAGACCCCCTCTCCTCCAGCCCCCCCCCCCGTCCTAGCACAGGCCAGGGCTTTGGGGTGACGTGCCGAGTTCAGGCCAAAGTCCTTCTTTAATACTCATTAGGTGGTCGTCAGGCAGATGCTTAGTCCTTGCAAAATGTTGTCTTACAGCCCCATTTTGATGACCTCTGATGTCCCCCCCAGAATAGCAACAGTACCTGATGGAGGGGCTTACTGATAAGTGTCACTACTCGTAAATTTTGGTTAAATCAATGTTTCCCAAACTTGGCTGTCACCAGAATCATTTAATAAGCTTTTTCAAAAGATGGATTTCCAGATTCCATGCCTAGAAGTTCTGATTTAGTAGATCTGAGGTGGGGCCTGGGATTTTGTACATTACTTCTTAAGTTTTGCAGGTGATTCTGGTGATCGCTGAGGCTTGGGAACCACTGGCTTAGATGGCCACTATGTTATTAATAAATATTCTAGGGGCTAAAGGGCTGGCTCTGACCAGAGACAGGAATGCTGTTCTCTGCAGAGCAGGAAAAGCTGGCCCAGGCAAGGGTATTCGTACAGGGTGGTCTGACTTTCCTGGGTCCCTCTGTGTCATGTGACAGAGGCCAGGCGATCTGGTGGGGGATAAGTATTTGGGTGAGAGACAGGCTGGGAGATGGCACCCACAGCCCCCTCGTGTCTCGCGCAGGGCTACCACTCCCTCCGGCAGCTTGTGAAGCTGTCCAAGCTGGAGGTGCCACAGCAGATCAAGGACGTGATTGAGCCAATCAAGGACAATGACGCCGCCATCCGCAACTATGGCATTGAGCAGGCCGTGAGCCTGTGCCGGGAGCTTCTGGAAAGTGGCCTGGTGCCAGGCCTGCACTTCTACACCCTCAACCGCGAGGTGGCCACCACGGAGGTTCTGAAGCGTCTGGGCATGTGGATCGAGGATCCCAGGTGAGGCCAGTGGCCCCAAATTCAGACCTGGGAGCCACAGAGGAGAGTCGGGAAGACAGGGACGTCAGAGGGAAGTCACAGAAAGAGTTTGCTGAGCAGTGCTGGCTGCCGCGGGGGGCACAGAGAGATGTCTGTGCCAGGGCTAGTGGCACCCTTAGGTCTCCAGTCTCAGTGGGAACTCCATGCCCAGCTTGGCATTTCTGAGTCAGATGGAAGAACCCAGGCTCAGCGGGGCCCCCTCTGCCCTGCTCCCGCTGGGCAGTCCCTGACCCTTTCTGTCTCCATTCTCACCCAGACGTCCCCTGCCCTGGGCCATCAGTGCCCACCCCAAGCGCCGGGAGGAAGACGTCCGTCCCATCTTCTGGGCCTCCAGACCAAAGAGCTACATTTACCGCACCCAGGAGTGGGATGAATTCCCCAACGGTCGCTGGTGAGCGCCTACGGACAATCATGGACAATCCATTGCAAAAGAACTATTTCTTGGGAGGAGGGAAGCAGATCCTGGTTGAGTCCATGGAGTCCTGGTTGAGGAATGGTCCCCGGGGCAGGTAGAGGCTACTGTCTGTCAGGAGCCCAAGGTCAGGAGTGCGCCTTGACCCCCGGGCACCTCCTCTGCCAGGGGCAATTCCTCCTCTCCAGCCTTCGGGGAGCTGAAGGACTACTACCTCTTCTACCTGAAGAGCAAGTCCCCGAAGGAAGAGCTGCTGAAGATGTGGGGGAAGGAGCTGACCAGTGAAGAAAGCGTCTTCGAAGTCTTTGTGCGCTACCTCTCGGGAGAGCCCAACCAGGACGGCTATAAAGTGAGTGCTGCTGGGGTGGGAGTCCTGCCTGCATCCCCTCGCCCTGTGGGCCAGACCGTGGGGCCATGACCACCTACCCGGGGCCTCGTCTCCGTCTCTGGACGTGGCACCTCAGCAGAGGGAGAAGGGTGAGTTGGGGAGTCCTGGCCTGGGGTGCCCGGAAGGGGCTGCTGGAAGCAGAGACGGGCTGGCTCTCTGACAGGGAGGGACCCAGGGTGCCAGATTGGATCATTGCCCCAGCGCCGCTCACCCTCCTTAGGTAACTTGCCTGCCCTGGAATGATGAGCCCCTGGCAGCTGAGACCAGCCTGATGAAGGAGGAGCTGCTGCGAGTGAACCGGCGGGGCATCCTCACCATAAACTCCCAGCCCAACATCAACGGGAAGCCGTCCTCCGACCCCATCGTGGGCTGGGGCCCCAGCGGGGGCTATGTATTCCAGAAGGTCTGGCATGGGTGCACAGGGCTACCCCTCCTCGACTGACACCCGGGGTTCCCCAGGGAAGGGGACAGAGCAGCCTTCTTCTCTGGGGGCTCTTTATTCTGAGCAGCAGTGGATCAGAGCAGACAGGAGCTCAGGCTCTGAGTCAGACAGACCTGAGCAGGCTGGTCACTTGACCACACTGAGCCTTGGCTTTCTCTTCTGTAAAATGGGTATATGTCACATGATGTTCTGGGGATGAAACATGACAAAGCATGTAGAGTGCTTAGGATGTGGGAAGCATTCATTGACTGGGAGCGATTAATACTGTTCCTTGTGGGTCTCTTGCTCCTAGGGCTACTGGAGTGAAAATTACGTTCTGAACTAAAGCCCAAGGGCTATGGAGTTAGAAAGACGTGGGTTTGAGCACCAGCTCTGCTGTTTACCGTCAGTGCAGACAAGTTGCTCAACTTCCCTGAACTTAGTTTCCTCGTCTGTAAAATGGGGCTAACAGTGCCCACCATGTAGTTTTATGAGTGTTGTATCAAATGAATTTAAATAAACCCAGCTTAATCCCTGACAGACAGGTGGTACTGGGGAAGCCCTCCTCATCAACGTCACCACCTGGTGGGTGGGGGGTGTTGGGTGTCAGGCCTCTCTTGCTTTACTTGCCAAACGGCCCCTGTACAGCTTCTGAAATGACTTCTCCATGGAAACTTCCCCAGTTGGACGAAGGGTGGCAGATGTCCCTTAGACCTGTCCAGATTGAGGAATCACGTACCTGCTCCCCTGGGTTTGCTTATGTATTTGCTGACTCCATCTCCAGCTAGTGGCCATGGGCTAGTCCCGATGCCTTAAGTGTCCAGCCACGCAGGTCCATGTCAGTGCCTCCCTGGGACGGTCAGGAGGGCTGGCGTCCAGTGTTTCTGAGCACATGGCATACTCGGCAGCACCCAGAGAAGGCGCCCTGCAGGGACTTGGGGGGTCCTTTGATAGCGCCTGGCTCTCTCCCGCAGGCCTACTTAGAGTTCTTCACTTCCCGAGAGACGACGGAAGCACTTTTACAGGTGCTGAAAAAGTACGAGCTGCGGGTTAATTACCACATTGTGGACGTGAAGGTAAGCCAGCTCCGGGTCCAGCTGTGCTCAGCAGGGCCAGGGCACCAGGGTTTACTCCTCCACTCAGCAGTCACAGAGCGCCCAGCCGGCCAGGCATTGTGCCAGACAGAACCAGGCCCCTGCCCACCGGAGCCCCCAGCCTAGAGAGGGAGGCCATCCGTGGATAATGACAGACGGGTGTGAGCAGTTGTCCTTCATAACGATCAAGTTCACCATGTTCACCACCACGTCTAACTTGGGAGGTCAGAGGAGGTGTTCAGAGGGGTCCTGTGTGGCCTGAATCTTTAAGGACGAGGAGGAGAAGGGCATTCCAGGAAAAGGGCAGAGGGTGGGCAAAGGCATCGCTGCTGAGTGGCGTCAGAGTGCTCAGCCGGGGCCAGGTCCTCAGGGGTCTCAACTGTCCTGCTTGGTATTGGGGTTTTCCCCTGAAGGCAAATGGGAGCCTTTCCCAGCAGTGGAGTGACTTTCATGTTTGATTTTAGGCAGGTTCCAGGGGACAGTGTGTGGGTAACAGGGCCAGGGGAGGTTAGAGTCAGCAGTCCCTGTGGAAGGCTGAATAGCAGAGAGAGACCTGGCTGGGCTGGACACGAGGGGAAAGGCTGGAGCGGAGTGAGCGGAGCCACTGGCCGCTGAGCTGGTTGGAGCGTAGGAAGAGGAGGGAAAGCCCAGGAAGGCCTCTGGGTTTCTGGCCGGCAGGGCGAGCAGCGCCGCTCACAGGGCCACCGAGCCAGAGGGCACGGGGCGGAGCGTGCTCCCGGCAGGGGACCGCAGCTGTCTGTGCCCCGGGTCTGCTCTCACCCCCACCCCAGGGCGAAAACATCACCAACGCCCCTGAGCTGCAGCCCAACGCCGTCACTTGGGGCATCTTCCCTGGGCGAGAGATCATCCAGCCCACAGTGGTGGATCCAGTCAGCTTCATGTTCTGGAAGGTAAGGGTTCGGGGAGCAGGCCTGCCCCGCCCACCTCCAGAGCCTTGGGCAGGCAGTGTCGCTGGGTGTCACTGAGTGTGTGGCCAAAGGCCACACCCCTCAGGGCTGTCAGTGCCTTGACTCTGACCGATGGAGTTTACTTCTGGGCTAGGGGGTGGGAGGTGGCACTGGCGGTGGGCCAGGTTCTGTTTTTGGAAACGTCCCGTTGGGTGGCAGCAGGGACCCTTGGGGTGCTGAGCGTGGAGCCCTGACCCAGGGTCAGCCTGTTAACCTTGCCTGTGTGGGACTATGTGTGTACTTGTGCTCTGCTGCCTTTCTCTGTGCGCCCGCGTGCGCGTGCAGGACGAGGCCTTCGCGCTGTGGACCGAGCAGTGGGGCAAGCTGTATGAGGAGGAGTCCCCATCCCGCATGATCATCCAGCACATCCACGACAACTACTTCCTGGTCAACCTGGTGGACAATGAGTTTCCGCTGGACAACTGCCTGTGGCAGGTGGTAGAAGACACATTTGAGCTTCTCAACCGGGCCCCCCAGAACGAGAGGGAGACGGAGGCTCCATGACCCTGTGCCCCAGCACCCTTAGCTTGAGGCCACCATGTCCCACCTTCCTTCTCCCCAGTCCCGGTTCTCCTGGGGACCCCTGTTCTCCTTCATTTCTCCCCAGCCCTGGCCTCCGCTCCCCAACGCGATGGTGGCAGCTAGACTAGTGTGAGGCTCCTGGGCTCTGGCTGGACCTGAGTCAGCCCCACACAGGAGCCTGGGTTCCCTGCTCACTGACAGTCTGTGCTCCTGTGGGGAGCAGCCCTGTCCTGGGGAGGCACCACGGTGGGCGGGACACCATCGTCCCCAAGAGGGGTTGCTGCCAATGGAGCCCCTGGAGCCAACCTGGGACTGCCAGTGACCTTGCTCTTGGGCGTGTGGAGGACAAGCGAAGCAAACATGGTAGCAGGCACTGTGGGACCGTGGAGGAGATGTGGCAAGGTCAGGGTGCAGCACCCTTCCACCTCCAAGGGCTGGCAGCCGGGCTCTGCCTGCTCGGGGGCGAAGTGGGGGACCACTGCCCTGCCTACCGACTACCCCGCCACGGCACTGGCCCCAGGACGGACCTTAGACTGAAACCTAATAATAGTTCTTGCCTCCTTCTACCTGAGAGTTCAGCTAGGTTTCCCCTCTTTCTCCAGCGCTGTTGTTTGAGACAGTTATCTGTTCCCGTGACTCAAGTGAGAAAGTGCCTTTTAAGGGTTAAAGATGTCTAAACCCTTGTGAGTGGTGGAGCCCGTGGCCCTCCCCTTTCTCCCCTGGCCGTGGAGGGTGCGGGGGTGCCCTGCCTGTTATCGAGGGCAAAGTTACGGTTTGGTGAGCAGGGCTCATTTTTCAGGCAGGCCCTCCTCCTGCCAGCTGCTCTGTCCCCTCTGTGTGTCCTGCTCCCCAGGAATCGGCCCTCAGTCATTCTGCTGTGGCAGATGCACACAGGCTGGTCCCTGTCCCAGCCCCTGCCTGGGGGTCTTTACTGACAAGTGGGGGGTGGGGACAGGGAGGCGGGCGGGGGGGCCACAGAGCAGCCTGATGACAGAGGAAGCCGGTCGAAGGCACGTCCTCCTCACTTTAGCGGCTGGCTGAAGTGAGGGGCAGCCTTTAGGAAAGACTGAGAGGCAGCTGGGACTAAGGAGAGTGTTTTATTGTCCTTCAGAGCGCAAGGACTGATCGCCCTGTGGCCTGCGCCTGCGCTCTCCGAACTGGCGGGGCTCGGTTCCCTCCCCGGGAGGCGGGGCTCAGTTGCTTTTCTGGCCACGGGAACAGTCACAGCTGCAGCTGGGCCCCCTGCTCCGCCCCAAGTCCACCCCGTGCAGGGGCTCTGGCCGCTCCCCGCCTGCTCCCTGGCCTCCTGATATGCCCGCTTTGTTCAGGGGCCTCGGGCTGCTGGTGGCACCTCTCCACTGGCCCCTGGCTGCCAGACGCTGGTGCCACTTCTCAAAGGCCTGGAGTCAGGGAGGGGGAAGGAAAGGCTGTTTGGCTCCCTCCTGGGTCTGTGCTGTCAGTGCTGGGCTGACACCCTGGCCCAGTTCCTTTTATCCCTGAGGGAAGAGAAGGCCCTTCCCTCTGCCCCAGGCCAAATGCACGCTCAGAATAGATCTGACTTGTGGTCAGGGAAGGACGCTCTTTAGGGAGGGGAGCTCAGCGACCCACGTGGGACAGCAGCCCTGCCACCAGCCAAGCCTTGTTCCCAAACCAGTCACAGGGTGGGACTGGGCTGAGCACATGGTCAACAGCTGAATCAAGGGCTCCCGAAGCCAGGCTGTGTTTTCTCTAACTGAACTGACCCCTCCCTGAAAATGAAGGGTTTCTGGGGTGGCAAGCAGGGAGGGCCAGCAGCTCAAACCGCCCAGGCGAGTGGTGGGGCCGCCCCCCCAGTACCTGGGAGAGGACCCAGCCAGCTTCCCGCTGCCGTAATCGCCGAGCCACCTGCAGCTGTAGGACCCGTCGCCGCCACATTCTCCACGCCCATCTCAGGTGCCACTGCCTGAGCTACGGGGACAGTGGCGAGAAGGCCCCTCGCTGGGCCTACTGATACCCCCGCAGCCCCCAGCCCCTCTGCAGCCTCCCCACCCGCAACCCTGTAGCACCAGCAGGCAGGGGATGTGACAAGGGGGGTTTCATCGGAGGTGTGTTAACAATGCAGATTCCTGGGCCTGTTGCCTAGGTTTCAGCCTTTGTCCGTCCAAAGAGCACACTGAGGCAGCGTTTCTAGGGGTCCGGGTTGGGAATGGGATGAGATGGGCGGTCAGCCTGAGGCGGGAGGGGAGCCCGCTCACCAGTGTCCGTGCCAGCTGCTCTGCCCCCTGAGCATCTACCCAGCGCTGCCACGTCACTGCCAGGCGCTGGGCCTGCTGAGAGCCCTGGAGCCGGCGGAGCAGTGCCTCCCGGTGCCAGCGTTGCAGGTATTTCCTCCTGCAGGGAGAGGCCCTGGTGTGCATCCTGACGGCCGAGGGTGTCATGACACCCCCATGGCCAGGAAGAAGGGCAGAGCCACAGGCCTAGGCCTGCTCCCCTGGAATCCTGTGGACAAGCACTGGCCAGAGAGAGCCCAGGTCTGGCCTTGGGTCAGGCAAAGCCCCTTGGCCTGGCCCCACCACCACCTCCACCCCTCCTCTTCCACACATAGGTGCACACTCTGCTTCTACCCCAGCCGCCTTTGCTCGGCCTCTCCTTCGCCCTTGAAGTCTCTGGTCTCAGAGCTGCAGTCCCCTCCTGGCCCTTCAGGGCGCCTGCCCTGGACCCCGTGGGTGCATCTGGGCCACTGCAGCTGGAGCTGGGAGTCGGGGCAGAGTGGGGGCTCTCTGTTTCCTGGAAAGAGGAGTTGAGTCAGAAGAAGTTAACATCACTCGGGGAAGCAAACCCCTGGTGCTCCTGGAGGTTGAGCACTAGGAAGAGGGTGAGCAAGAAAAGGTGTCAAGTGAGTTAAGTCTGTGTCCTCGTTTCCCCCACATCTGCCCAAGAGAGTGGGTGGGGCAGGAGAACTCGTCATTGTTTTCTCAAAATTGTGAAACATCCCAGAAGAGGAGATGGTGGGGAAAATACAGAGTAAATACATAAGACAGGTATGCCAAGAGCTTGAAGCTGATTGCCAGGCCCTTGAGGGCCGTGACTGCCTCATCCCCTCACTTCGGAGTGTGTATCCCCAGAGGGAGCATCTCCTTACCCTGAGCCCAGGATGTTTCTCTCCGCTTCCTCTGTCCACTGGGGCTCTGGTGCTGGGTTGGGCCAGGCAGCCTGGGCTTTGTGGCTAGTGGCCTGCAGCTGCGGGTCTGAGAGAACAGCCAGAGACGAGAAGTTGACCCCAATGGGCTTGGACCTCCAGAGTCCCAAGTGACCTGGCAGGATTCCTTTCCTGCCCTGCCCCAGCCAGTAACGGGGCCTCTATTTGTGTGTGCACAAGTGGGACAGTTTGAATTGCTGCACGTTCTCCCATGAGCCCTGAGGCTCCCAGAGGAGACAGAGAGGGTGCCCAAGAGTAATGTGGCCATCAGTACATGTCACTGCCTCATCCCCATCCTCTCACGTGGCTGGAGACTCAGGGAGATGAATGGACAATGATGGCTACTGCTCAGTGAGGTCTACCTGTGCCAGGTACAGCCTGTGATGTAGGCATTACTCTCCCCACTCAAGCTTTACAAAGTCAAGTCACCTGTCTGAGGCCCCACCCCTCCTGAGTGGTCTGACACCAGAGCCCGAGCCCCCGGTGACTACTCCGGGCAGACCAGAGACTCTCTAAGGGAGTCTGTGCCAGCATGAGATGTAAAACCTGCTCCCCTTGTTAGCTGAGGGCTGCCCCGGTGCGTGTGTTCGCGTGGTAGAAAGAGGGGGGCTGGGATTCAGCCCCCGAGCTCCCATTCCTGGCATGTACTTTCGGTTTGTACAAGCCTCCGTTTCTCCACCAGTATTGGGGTCCCTGCCTGCCTTTGCTGACTGACATGGAGTGAAAGTGTTTATAAACATACTCTGAGGGAAAAAAACTGTCTTGAAACACAGATCTAGAAATAAAATGCCCTGAGACCCCCGAGTCTGCTGTGGCCAAATCCCTGCATGTGTGAATATGTGAATTCTGCAAATAACCAAAGCTAGTTCCTTTCAATTCAATTCGAAACAAAGCACTTTAATCTTCTTCTAGAGTCTATCACATACTTCTTGGCGCCCTGAAACAGGATTCTTGATGATGCCACCTCATCTTGAGGAACACTGTGTGGCCTGCCAGCAGCCCTGCGGCTGTGTCCCGAGATGACGTGTCCCTAGACTGTCATGCAGTGCCTGGATCTCACTGTGCCCTCCTCCCTCCTGCTAGGCCAAGAAGCTCTTGTCACCATTTGCTGGTATTAGAACTCATGCTTCTGGCCTGGAGACAGACTGGCAGTTATCTTTGGGTGGAGAGAGTTATGAAGGAAATTTTTCATTTATATTTTCTGATTTTTTTTGTGAATAGCATGTTTCATTTTCTAATGAGAAAAAAAAACTGGACAAAAAATTGCTACTGACCCCCTGTACCTATCACGATGCTAGACTGCACCAGTGACTTACAGTGAATGTAGATGTCTGTCTCCCTAATAGATGTGACCCAGGGCATGTCCTTGCAGTGGACCAGCGCTGGGCTGGCGCTCTGTCGTTGCTCAGTGAATGTGCGCTGATGGGCTGCTAGTTGGCTGCCAGAACAGGAGGCTCTGAGAACCCTAGGGGTGCTGTCTACAAGGCCACTGGGCACCTGGATAAGCATCCAGCCACCCTTGCCCCCTGGGCTGAATGGAGCTGATTCTGAGGCCACTGACTCTCAGGTCATTTTGGACCTCCCAACCCACCTGGG